AGGTAGTGCTGTATTAATCTCCTTTAAGTGGTGTGGTAAATACAGTTTTTAGGCTGTAGCATAACATTAAAATAGAAGCGATGGGATGTGAGATACGTTTTGTAACTAGCCCAAAGAATGGAAAAGATAATCAAGAATCTCCTCACGTTATCCTCTCTGGATGGAGATAACAACAGACAGACACCATGATCCCAAGAGAAGAATTATTGCCTCCTTATCAGGAAAGCTCAGACTTGGAGGAACCAACAAAATTGATTTACAAGATGAAGGGGGGAAGCTGAAATTGAGCAGAAACACCCTGGTTTGAGAGGAATGTTTGAATCATGTATGAGATATATAATTATACAATAAGATATTGCATTTAAGGGGTAATCCTTTGTTAGCAGGGGATGCTTTGGGGCAGAGTGAGAGTCTGTAATTGTTTGTTTTTTATTGTCCAAGTTTAGATTGTCTAAATTCTTATTGTCCTAATTTTCCCCACTCTTTTCCAACTTCCAACACTTCCATACCAGTGCCTGGTGTTTTCCAGGGAGCCGAGCTTTCCCTGAGAGCGCTGTTACATTTCCCTGGCAGTTGCTGTGTCCCCGGGAGGGTTTGCTGGCCCAGGGCACGGCTGTAACTCGGCTGTAACTCTGTTTTTTTCCCTCCCTAGCTTTGCTGGCCCCAGGCTCGGCTGTAACTCTGTTTTTTCCCCTCCCTGCGCAGGGGAATCGGCGGAGCTGCGGGAGTTGCTGCGGAACCCGCACCTGCGGCAGCTGCTGCTGGCCCTGGAGCAGGCTCGGGACAAGAGCTCCCTCCTGAGGCGGCTGATGCAGGAGCCGCTGTTCCTGGAGTTCGCCGACTGCTGCCTGGGCATCGTGGAGCCTCCCGAGGAGAAGGAGAACGTGCTCCCCGTCCTCCCCGAGTGAGCTGTGCTGCTGGGGCACTGCGGGTTGTGTCATTCGTCGCGGGGATTCGTGTTTGGTGAGGTTTGGGTGTGCTCTGCCATGTGTCTTGGCTGCTGTGCCCGTGGGTGTCACTGCTCTGAGCTGAGGCTGGAGCTGACAAACAGGGGCAGAGCTGTGCTGGGACTTCGTTTTTTACATCCTGGGGCTTGACCTTGGTACTCTGTGGAATTCTTGGGCAGCCACAGGAAATGTTGCTTCACAGTGACAATATTAAATATATCTGCATTGATTTTAATCCACGAGCATTCTCTGAAATTTTTTGTTTTGTGCTCTGAAATGTTTTTGTTCGCTGAAGGTTGTTGGGAAGGGTCAGACACCTTGAGAAGGCATTGATTTTAATCCTTGAGTACTGTGAAATGTCTTGTTTGGTACTTTGTAAAGTACTCTGAAATGTTTTTGTTCAACCTAAAGGTTGTTGGGAAGGGTCAGACACCTTGAGAAGGCATTGAGCAGTTTATTTTAAATGACATACACAGAGCAGCTGAACATTTTCAAGATCCACGAGCAACAAAGGAGGGTTCAGAGCACTCCTGGGCAGGGTGGTGCTGTCTGGGAGCTCTGCACTCACCTGGCAGCTGTGAGAGCTCTCTGATTTTGTTCTGTAGATAAAAGCAAGAGCCCAGCCCTGCTTTTCCCTGAGACATCTGCCCCAGCTGGCTGCTCCTCACCCCCCTGGGACACTGCTGCTCACTCAGGACGGCTGCAGGAATCAGGAATGTTTATTGGCATTATTGTTTGCTCACTCTGCCTGCTGCAGGCAGCTCAGTTCAAGTATCCATTGCTTCAAGCACCTGATCTGTTGGCATTGATTTGTTCCCATAGTGTTGATATTTCCTGTGACATGGGGGGGGAGCAGGAGCTGCCCCCAGCCACAGCAAATGCAATTTAATGTTATTTAAGGTTATTATAATGTGCATTATGAGGTGTGTCCCTGGTACAAGGCAGCGCTGGGGAAGCTCTGAGGTAGCAGCAGAAGGGACACTGAGTGATTTGGAAGCAGCAGCTTGCAGGGACCCCCCTGGAGGCCAGGCCAGGCCAGGGCTATGTGGGCAGGAGCTCCTGTCTGTCCAGCAGGATCTGGTTGAGTCCCGTGATGGAAAACGCCTCCGTGTGGGGGCTGACGGTGGCAAAGTGCAGGGGGGACCTCCTGCAGTGGAACCTGACAGGGCCCTGCAGGGACAAGAGAGGAGAGTTCAGCCAGATGGGCAGCTGGCTTTGTTACTCACATTTAGCTCTGGAACCACTGGGGCATGAGGACAGAGGAACTCCTCCTCCTCCAGAGGAGTGCCCACAAATGGACTGAAGAGAAATGGTCACTGCAGAAATGCCAGCACTGAACTGGACTGAGATCAGCTCACACTCTGGAGGTTGGGGTGCTCAGCACTGCCCTTGCAGCAGCTCTGGCAGTTCCTGCACACAGAATTTGATGCCCACACAAAAATGTCCCCCCTAGACGCGAGGGTGATTTGTAAGGGCAGTTTGTGAGGGCAGGCAGTGCCAGGCAGTGGGAGATGGCACCCCAGGCTGCAGACAGG